CACACACACACACACACACACACACACACACACATCCCTCTGCCCCACCCATTACCTCAGCCCTCTGAACAAAAGCAAACAGAAAACACGGATGTGCTGCAGATTTTTGGGGAATTACAGAAAAGGTGCTTCGGCTGCAGCAGATGTAAAAAGCTGTTCCTCCTCAGGTTTGTGTGTCAGAATGTTTTTAACACACACTCAGAATCAACCAGATGATAAATGATTTTCTGCATCATTAAAGATTCACAGAGGAAATGGTTCCAGGTTTGCAAGAAGCTAAAAAATGCTTCAGATATCTCACGCAGGAGGAAACGTCTCGGCCTGAGCTGCGTTTTGTATCAAGGTTGAATAAACGTCGGTGTCGTAGGAACTGAACCGACGCAGGTGTGTGAATAAAAAACTTTTCTCGTACAGATTGAGCGTTCGTGAAGGAATCAAGTGGTTTTGTGTAACTCAGTTCTTCGTACACTACAAATCAAACAGAGGGTTTTTTTTTTCCAGGTGCTCCAGATAATAAGGATAATAAGATAAACGATGGTAAAATCCTCAGAGGTGAACGTTCCCCTCCGTCTGCTGCCTGGAGTTAATTAGCTCTCCCTCCGTCAGAGCCTCTCAAGTCAACAAGGCGATTAAGGTTTCACTTGATCCCTGCTGATCAGAGGGAGATGTGTATCACAGCAGCTGGATCCCGCTCCGTGAAGAACATCAGCCGACACGACGTCACTGAACGAGCTCTTCTCCATTATGTTCAGATCTGATTAGTGACGGCAGCAACTCAGTTTCATCCTCTCATCAAGATCATGGAGTGAGTTTCACAGTTTCTCACATGTTAAATATCTGTGGGAACAAGTTACTCTCATATCGAGTCACGTTGTTTTTAAAGATCTGAGCAGTAACACACAAAACACCAGCTTCTAATGAATCCAGAAGAAGTTTAGGTCTGAATCAGTTTCAGTCGGACGTCCAGTCACAGGTAAATTACACCTGTGGCTGTTTGCTCCACGATGGATTCATTGATCCGTGGACTTCCTGGTCACGTGTTGCAGGACAGAGGAGGTCGGAGGTGAAGATGAAGAGTAAACTTCACCGACGTCAAATGAACAATAGACAGCAAACACTCTTCAATTAGCAGCAGCTGAAGTTTGATCTGCACTGAACTCTTGATGCCGCGCTCGCCTGCGTCTGGCACCAGCACCTGCCGGCCTGGAACGAGCCCGAGGTTTGTTTGACTGTGTTTACTCTGCTGCTCTTTGTCTCCTCTGTGTTTGAGTGAGTCGGAGATAAGAGCGGACACGTGCAGCCGAGAGAAAATCAGCTGGGATTCAACTCGGAACAAAAACCGACTGTGGAGGAGATGAACTGAGACGTTTGTCAGATCAAAGCTTTTTCTGTTCGTGTTATTTGAACAGAACAAAGTCAAACAAATCAAAGACTCAATGACGGCTTTGATTTTTGTATTCGTGGTTTTGAAACAATCACATTAAGTCTCGAGAGACAGATTTCGAGTTGGACCTTATTGGACAGTGTTGTTGTCTTTGTGCAGGAGGTGAAGAAGTGAATGGATGAATGGATGAAAGTACAGATGGATGGATGGGTGATGATTTCATGAATGATTGATAAACGGATGAATATTAGAATGAATGGATGAGTGATGAACACATGGATGGAGGTTTTCTGGATGAATGGATGAGTGACTGATTAAAAACCACCTGTGTGACACATTTTCATCAAAACAACAATAAAAGAAGTGAAAGTGGTTTCTCTCCTTCGTGTGTGTGTGTGTGTGTGTGTGTGTGTGTGTGTGTGCAGATGAACACATTCATCTACACACAGACACACACAGGGTGTAACCTGACTCCGTGTGCTAACGACATCACAGAGCAGTCGATGTCTGATTAAACTCCACAAATTCAATCTCACTGTGTCGCTTTCACGTCCGATAACAAGTCGTCTGAGGCAAACACAGAACGAAGTTAGAATCCAGGATCGTTCTAAAACACGTGATTCTGTGATGATGATGTTGATCGAACCTTTTTAAGTCACGAGACAAGTTGGGATTTTTATTTTTCTGTTCTTTATCTGGCACGTGACCAACAACGCTTTTAATTTGAAGTTTAATCTCATTATTCTGAGGAGCATCGTTGTTATGTTCGGATTTAATGTTCTGAAAATGTCAATAACAACAACGACGACATCATCAGGATAAAACACAATCAGAGGATCAGTCGGGTTTTTGTGAATCGAACTGAAACCATCACGACAGGGTTTTAAAAAGTGGATTCATCCTCTGGAGACCACGAATATATTTCCACAAACCTTCGGTGGACCACAGTGTTGGATTGACATGAAGTCGCCGTGGCAACGTCACTGCACAATGAAAGCTTCATGTTTAGTTAAAGTGTGTGTGTGTGTGTGTGTGTTTTATCTGCAGCTCTTATCTGCAGGCTGCTCTCCAGCTGGTCTTCACATGTCAGAGCTACAGCGAGACTGACGGTCGGCCTTTGTGTGTGTGTGTGTGTGTGTGTGTGTGTGTGTGTGTGTGTGTGGGTGTGTGTGTGTGTGTTACTTCTTTCTTCATTATGGAACCAAACAGAAATGCATCAAGGTTTAATTTAAGATAAATTGGTTTGGTTAAGATGAAGGTATAAGTCAGGTTTAGGTAAGTTGGGTTTGGATCATCTGATTTATTCGAGTTTCACAGTTTCGGAGAAATGTGTAAACCAGCGAGAGAAGAGCTGCAGTAGAGCCCCCCCCCCCCCCCATGTGATTATTATTCGGTTGGCACAGTTCAATGTCCCCTCGACTTCTCTCTGAACACGTCCTCAGGTGGATCTGACCTCCGTCCTCCCTGAGGCCGTCTCTATCTGATACGTCTTCAATCACATGTGGGACAAACTGATTCGAACATCTGAGTCAGTTCAGCTCTAAAATTAATCTGCGTCCACGATGAGACACCTCGGTACAGGAACCACCTCTGGAGCTCTGACACGGAACGTGACAGCGTGAGGTCGACGTCCAGCTGCTGCAGAGTTTCACTGAGGCTGGAGGAGGAGGAGGAGGAGGAGGAGGAGGAGTGAAGGAGAAGGAGGAGGAGTGCAGGAATGTCTTTCACACGCAGAATGTTTTGTCTGAGTCGACATCTGACCTCTGTCACACACAGTACACGACGCTGACCCTCACACTGTGCAGAGGTCAAACTTTCCTCTGGATCTTCTTTAATCAATAATCTGTTTCACACTCATCAGCTGTTCTGTCTCCAAACTGAACAAATCCGATCTTTAACTTATCGTAGATCTGAAAACTAAAAGTTCTCTGATCGTCTCTGTGAAGGAAGATTATTTTCATCATATCAGTTATTTATATTTCATGATTTCACACTTTTCTTTTATAAATTTACTCATTTTTTTCCCAACTTTTTTCCCCATCCAGTATTTAATGTAAAAAAACATTTTTTTTGGTTTCAGTCTTTTAAAGTGAGTTTTCTTACATTCTTGTTTTTAACATTCTATTCTATAATATATTATTTAGATTCCAGTATTTCTATGTTCTTTCTTTTTAATCTGCTTGTTGAGTATTTGTGTTATTTGTTGTATTTGTATTTAAAGGTTTTCATGTCATTGCTCCACATTGTGACCAGGACTCCCTCTCAGTACTTCCTGCTTAAACAGAGGATAAAGAAAATACATAAATACCTCAACTTAGTACTACGTAAAAATCTCCTTGGTTTCACTGCACAGCTGACAACACGTATTATTATCGACTAATTCCAGTTTTTCCAAGTAACTTAACTTTGACTGTTTTTAACCCTAAAGGTGTAAAATCAGCTGTTTCGTCATCAACAGGGACATTTTGAAGATTTGTTTCTAAATCACTGGAACATGATCTGGATCATTGAGGTTGTGAATCAGTGAGTTTCTGTTGTTGCTTGTTACGGAAGAAAAAAGATGGAAAAACAAACTTGTTTCTCAGTTTGGTTTTTTATTCTTTTTTGGACATTTAGCAAAAATACTGCAGAAACATCCAAAGCAGTGTAAGAGCTACGGGCGACAAAGAAAAACCAGAAGAACAAAAACTTAAATAAAAATCATGATTGCATCCAGTTATTATTCAAGAGCGGCTGATTGCTATAATGTCACTCGAACACACGGCGTCCTCACGTTTCAATAAGTTAAAATAAGACGTCGTGGAAAAACACAGCACGGGTCTGACGACACAGAGCAATAATTTACACAAATAATTTAATAAATACAATAATAAATAGAACGTAGGAGTTGGATATAGTGTGAAGTGAGATACAGAAGAACCAGTGACACAAACAATCCGATGAGTTTAAGGCAGTTTTACAGCAGGAGTCTCTAATCAAGGCATTAACGGCTACGCTAGTTTCATCTGGTTGTGTTTTCACCACAGATCCACGGATCCACCGGCTCTATGTTAAAGCTACTCAGTGAGAGATGAGGTGTCTGGTTCCACAGGCCCGCCCCTCTCTTAGGTCTAGAAGCTAATAGCACTTGTGCAGAGATGCTAGAAAAATACATCAACAGTCTAACGCTTTAGGTTTTTAAGTGTGTGATGTCAAAGATCCTTTAAGGTGTCGGGTTGTAGGCCAGGGTGGGGGTTCGAACACGCACCCAGTACCTGCTGACGTGTTCTGGAGCAAGGCACTGAACTCCTTCCAGCTGCAGGTGAGCGGCCGACCTCTGACCTTTTTAAAAGTGGGTGCATGGATGATGAAGGTTGGGACTTTCTGTTCGCTGCAAAAATAAACTTGAATTTCTCTCTTTGCCTCATTAAATATGAAAAAAACAAAATTCCACTTGATTCTTTTCTGATTTGTGCTTTTTTTTAAACTAACGTCCCCAAATGAGTGAAAACCAGTGAAGACATGAGATGATTTCAAAGAGTCAATAGAGACACTTTCACAAAGTGCTCAGAGTCCAGACTTGATTGCATGTTGACATTCTGCAGTGAAGCGTCCGGTCACGATCACAAACCGGATTCCAGCTTCTCGGTGTGAACGAGGCCCGAGGACCCGGATCAGCAGGCGGGGCGCAGCGGCACCTGCAGCAGGATCACCTGCCGGTTCTCGGACGGGTGGCACTTGTTGATGTGTCTGGTGAGTCCCGGGGAGCTGTAGAAGATGGCGGGGCAGTATTTGCACGAGTACACCTGTGAGGAGTGCAGCAGGCGGATGTGTCGCTCCTGACCGCCCCGGCTGCTGAAGCCCTCCCCGCACACCGGACACGCGTGGCCGGTGGAGGAGCTCAGGTTGAGCGGCGCCGCGCTCTGCTCGCAAGCCGCCGCGTCCGCCTCCTCCTCCGCCGGTTTGGCTCCGTGCTGTGACGCCAGGTGTTTCCTCAGGTACGCCTGACGTTTAAACTTCTTCCCACAGTGATGACAGTCGTACAGTCCCTCCTCGGAGCCGGACTCGGACGGCCCGGGGCTGGGTGTGTCCCTGTCACTAGAGTCCTTCGGCTCCTCCGCCGCTGGTTTACCGGACGCGGGGACCTTGTCTCCCTCCGCTGGACTCTGCTGCTTCGGTTTGTGCCACCGCCGGTGCGAGGCCAGGTTGGCCGGGCAGCTGAACACCTTGTCGCACTCCGGGCACCGGTACTCGACCCGGATGATCCTGGAGCACTTGTGCTGCGCCAGAGCGAACGGGTCCGCGTACGCCTCCCGGCACAGCTGGCACACGAACTCTCCCAGCGGGTGGTGGTCTCCTCCGGTGAGCGGAGGTCTGGGAGGCTTCTGGTCCACCGGAGCCTCTTTAATCTTGAGCCCGAGAACCGGAGACGTGGTGACATCATCCTCAAAGTGCAGTTTCCGGATGGCTTTGGTTTTCTTGGACGCCGGTTTGCTTTTGCGCTCGGTGTCGCTGGACGGTCGCTTGGTCCCGGCGGTGGAGGAGGCGGCGGGGAGCGTCCCGGTGGAGGAGGCTCCGGTGCCGGTGCGGTTGCTGTTGCTGGAGGCGATCTTCAGGTCCACCGGGGCGAAGAGGTGATCCAGGGCGGTGAGCGCCGCGGGTGTGGGGAACGACTCCGCGGAAACCGGCGATCCGAGGTTGAAGCGCCTCTCGAAGTAGGAGCGGTCGTGGTCCTGGCTGACGGGGCGGGTGGGGCTGTACAGCGCCTGGTTCACCGCCTCCGGGTTCCCGAACTGAATCGGTTTAGCGCCCCGCTCCGGGGCTGTGGCCGCCGCCCCGCAGGTGGGCGTCGGCGTCTGTGCGCGCACCGGGACGGAGAAGAGAGACGCGGAGGAGGAGGAGGAGGACGGAGGCAGCGCTGGTGGCGCGTCTGCAGCCGCCGGCTCCGCTTCCTCCTCATCAGACCGAACCCGGTACGACACCGGGTTGGTTTTCTTGTTCCTTTTCACCAGGAACCCTCGGGGCATGTCGGCGCCGGACTGACGGATGAAGGCACTTTGGACGCGGAGCACAAATCCACTTTCAGCCGCGCACGGACTCAAACATCTGATGCGTCCTTCAGTCTCGTGTCCTACTGGTCGTGTGTCCTCCTCCAGAGCATGTTTCTCCTCAGCATAGCTCAACTCTTCTTTTTAACACACATGATGACATTGTTCCTCGGCCCCTCGTTGCCTCATCCCCGACCAATCAGGAGGAGCCGCGGTCCCCTGTGGATTTGGAGAGTGGGTGTGGGAGGATGGAGAGGAGGGAGGATGGAGAGGGGAGGGGGGGGGTGTTGCAGATTGCAAAGCAGATGTACCTGAGGGTTTTATTGTGTCCCTCCTCCTCCTCCTCCTCCTCTACACTCTCCCTCCTCCTCCTCCTCTCGGGCACACGCCAGGAGCCTCCTGCTTTTACGGTCTGATGACTCTGTATAGAACTCCACACGTGCCTCGGCTCTGTGTCTCCTCCGGCTGCTGGAGCCTCTGATGTGACATCCGCCCAACGTGACGCGTCAGAACGAGGGGACCAGAAAATGGACCTTTACGCACCGGAGCTCGTGGATCAGTCCGAGTTTGTGTTGAACTAAAAACTCTGAAAGTAAAAACAGATTCATCGTCAAACAGCAGCTCCGCCCCTGAACGAATCTGGTTTAAATCTTATTTTACTGTTCGAGTCTCAGGTTTTAAAAACGTGAGGATCGTTTTTTTACGCGCAGAATAACGAGGATGGATTCAAACATTAGAAATAACCAAACATCTCCGAACCTGCGGCTCTGGTGTGACAGTTAACTTACATATGAATCCGTCATTTCACGCATACATAATTAATGGCGAGAGGAGGGTTTCCTGCTTTGCATCACAATGGCAGCGCTTGTGCAAGCTGTAGAGCCTCCGTGATTGGAAAGGAAATTGCACAGTTAAAGAAAGCGGGTGGGTTGGGATTGGGGGGGGCAGTAGAAGAAAGTGGGGGCCCCCAGGAGCAATCTGGCCCCCAGATACTGTCGGCGCGTGCTGTGCGTAATTAGTGCGCTCTTTCTGTCTCCAAATGGGGCAAACCGAGATTAAAAGGACAAAAACATGAAACCCAATTCCAGCACGTCCAGACTGACCCGGTCAGGACATGAGTCTGCACCGTGAGGCATGATGGGATGTCTGGTTTTAAATCTCAGGGAGTTTGGTGAAATAATAAATCATCAGCAACAACCTTCCTCATTCTCTGGATTCTCAAGAAAAACTCATTTAGAGAAAATCCCTGTAAACAAGTGGCTCTGTGCTGGAAACAGTTTAATAATCCTTTCAAACTTAATTCAAGAAAACAAACAAACTCTTTAGAAACATTTCACATCATTGTAAAGGTTTAGTCAGAATATATATAGAATATACATCGTAATGTATAAATACTATGAACAGCTCAGAAATCCAGATGATCATCATCATATCTCAAAATGTTCACTACTCACTCACATGTTGAATAAGATGGGTCCTTGTGTGAAATATAGAAACTGCAATAACCAGAACATTAATTATTAAATACAATAAAACTTTGAACTGTTTCAAATCTAAACTGGAGAATTTGAAATATGACGCAGCAACAAAATGCAGAGAAAACAACACAACGAAGCGACTGTGGGACTAAATGTAAAATATGAGATAAAACAACAAGTTATCAGAAATGAACATGAGATTAATGAGCGTCAGACAAATTATAAATAAAAGTCTACAGGATGTCGGAGGGTTTTCATCGTCTGTTTTCAGCTTGTTTGCAGGACACGAGCTGAGTGAGTGTGTGTGTGTGTGTGTGTGTGTGTGTGTGTGTGGTTATTTTCCTGACAGACTTCAGTTCAGCCTCATTAGCATACAGCTGTAGAGTTACACCCCCCCCCCCCATGAAGCCACACATCCACTTTCATGTGCAGCCGCTGTGATTGGTCACGCTGCTGCAGAGTCACCGAGGGCAGAGGTCGGTTACAGTTGGCACGTTACGGACGACGAGATGTTTTTGTTGGAAATAAAAAGAGAAATGTCAGAAATCATCTGTGTCATGTTTCAGTCAAACAGGTTTTCGTGGCTTGATGTTTAAAAGACAAATGTTTTTTTAATGAAACAAGAAACATTTGGATAAAATGTGAATTCAACTCCTGGAAAAGTTCAAATCTTTACATTCAAGGAAAAATCCTAAGAATTGGTCAAATATAAAAGTTTCAGTGACTTTATCCATTTTTTAAAATTTTGTTCCTTTGTGCAACATTGCAGGACACAGCACGCTGGTGGGTGTGACAGTGTGTGTTCGGTTTGTGAGCTGTTGGGTCAGTTGTGTTGTCCCACTTGTCCCCCACAGGCGAACATGGGCAGCAGGTTGGCGTTGTAGCTCAGATATTTCACTATGCAGCTTCTCAGAACCACCTGATTCTCCTCGTCCTGCAGAGAAAACGAATTATTCACTTTGTTTTTTCTTTCATAGGTTTAATATGGAATCTTAAAAAAAGTCAAATAAAAACAAACCGTCAGGGTATTTGACATTTTCTGCTGAAGCTCCTGATGGAAGTCAGAGAATCTGTCGTGATAAACGGCTAAAAACTGGCTCCGCCTGAGGAAACTGCAGAACGACACAAACACATCGTATTATTCTCGTACTTTGGTCTGAGCACGTCCTCCTGTTTATCTGCATGGAAAGACACCACGGGGTGAAATATCTTCCATCATAATCTGGGTGAAGTGACCCGGCTAAGAATCAGTGAACCCCTGCTGAACAACCCCCCCCCTCCGCAGAAGCAGCACTAACTGTGTGCTGAACGACCCCCAGCCGCCACACGGCCAATCGATTATTTTAACGGCTCATGATGCTCTGGCAGCCTCCACAATGACTTTACGAGTCAGCTGAGCGAGTGGTGTAAGTGAGGAATCGGCCGCGGCAGCGGGGAGGCCCCGGCTTTGTCTCGTTCTCCACTGGCCACAAAGACAGATTGGCGAGCTGCATAAACAGATTAGGAGGCGGGGGACAATAGACGTCCATGTCTGGGGGTCATTTGTCTTGAAACCTCAGAAGCAGGTCACCCGCTGTTTGACAAACACACACACACACACACTCTGCAAAGTCACACCAGCGCACACACAGACATCATGAGGACAAAGACACTGGAGCTAAATCTCTGTCCCTCTCTGCTGGTAACTCTTCTCATGTGTTGATGTCTGAGTTCATCAGTCAGTGGACACACGACGAGACGCTTCACTACCTGCAGCTTCTCTGAAGACACTTCCTGTCTCTCTTTTAAAGCCCAGAACAGCCCAACAAGTACTTCTGCACAATGATGAACCACATGAATCTGATACTATCACTGACGATACCAGTTGGGTGAAACTAGTTGTTTGACAAACTGACGTTGTGCTTCCACAGCTTCTTTCTGCAGATCTATTGCACTGGATGTGCCTGATGTCCATATCAACCTGAGCTTCTTTTCTCTCGTTGTCATTTATGATGGGAGGAGTTTGTTTCTCCTCTGATGAAGAATAATTCATATTTAGAACCTGGGTTTGCTGCAGTTAGAGATTTATTCTAGATTACTGGATACTAATTTTCATCATTTGTCCATCGGTGCTAATGCTAACAGGTTGTAAACAGTCATAGGAAGACGTCCACTCTGACCTTTGACCTGATTCTGAAATGAGGCTCTGGAACACACTGATCGAGGATCTATGACGGGCAGAGACAGAAGCTTCTTTAAGTCTCTTCTGTCGTGGAGCGTTACCTCACTTCACTTCTAGTTTTTTTTTTTTCCTGGTCTCACCTGTACAGGTCAGGGATCAGGCCCTGGTGGTAGCGGCTCAACATCTGGCCCAGCATGTGCTGGGGTTTCCCATACAGGGTCAGGTAATTGGAGACAGGGAGGGACTTCAGAGAGAAGCAGGTGATCGTCCCCACCTGCCCGAAGCAGTCGAGGTGCAAACAGAAGTAATTCCCCGTCTCCACTCGTCCGGTCACAATCCGTCTGTCCTCCAGCTTCACATGGACAGACACACGAGACAGTGAGAGAACCTGGTGATTCATCAGAGCTGAACATGATAAGAAAACTAAACTGTTTCATTGAGCCTCGAGGAAGAGGAGGTCACATCAGATGATTTACAGCAGCTGTCGCTGAGAACAAAATCAGACCTCTGATAAAACTCTGAGCTGTGGTGAGCGAATCACACGTCTCGAAACTCGACTCAGTTTTCAAAACAACGCATCGTATGTCAAGTTCCTGTTTCCTGCTCCTTTGTGAAACCGTCACTAGAATTAAATTTACCCTGCAAAAGTTAAATGAGCAAAAAGTATCTAATAAAAATATATACACACACGACACAGAAGAGTAAAATCTTACATGATCAAGAGGAGGATGCGTCGGTTTGATGGCAGCTGGTTCAGTAACGTGCAGGTAGTTGAATCCTCCCGGCAGCTTCCCACCTGACGACAGAGAGGTTTGATTTAAATAACTACCTCCTCCACGGAGCTTCATGTTTCCATCTGTGTCTGTTTGACTTTAAACCTGACGACAAACATTTCACAAAAATCGTGGGGTCAATGTCAAGAGGAGGAGACAACGTTCAAAGCTCCACAACAGCAGAGTAATTACAGAACAGATTTCAGTGTTAGCTTCCACCCACAGAGGAAAACAGAGCCAAGGCAATGAACTCCTGCGGTGAAATGGCGTCTCTGCTCCGACTGAACACTGAAAAGGTCACGTGTGCGAGGAGGGCGAAGCCGAGTGGCTGTTGTGTTTATGGAACCTGTGGAGTGGCCTTGGTTACTCTGAATACACGGCATTGTTGCGCCCTGCGTCGGTTCGAGTGTCCGTCACAATAACGTCTGCAGTGGGTGGGCTGGTGAAAGATTGGAAAATGTTTCACAAAAGCATAATGAAAAAATATTTGCAGCACGAATTCTCCCAGACAACAACGTGGACGGCGGGAGGACACAGGACACGGAGGACACGGAGGACAGCGTGGAGGTAAACTGACAAACCCTGAAAAAATATGTGTATATACATATATGTGTGTGGAGGAGGAGAAGGAAGACCTGTTCCGTCAAATCATTCTAGACTTGATTGTAAAACTCATCGACCCTTAAAACTCAGATCAAAACCGAACCCCCGGCCGATAACCGACCTTGAATCTTGGCCTGTTTGTACAGCGGCACCAGACGATCCATGTCAGATGGAAGTGTGTTCACTCGCTCCTGCGTCGGGTCGATCAGCTGAAGCAGCGCGGCAGCCAGCTCCTGGCCCACTTCCTTGGAGTTGAAGTTGGCGTGACACATCTCGTCTGAGTGGTAACGACGGGAGAATTTGGTGACAGGTCCGGCTCCGTAGATGGCCGAGTCGTTGGTGAGGAAAGAGGAATTGATGACGAGTCTGCTGTCGAAGACCAGGAAGGAGCGACTGATGCTGCAGAAGGCGTCGTGGTCGACTCTTTTATTGGAAAGGTTGATGAACACCTGAAAGACGAGGATTATGTCATCATCAGATCTAAAAAAGGTACAAGTTCCTCTAACGTCAGTGGCGTTTCATCCTCGTCTGTCGAAAGCACGAGTCCGGCTGCACTGGTTTCTCTTTCTTGTCATTTCATCTAAATCTCTTTGTACTTATAGAATAGACAGAAAATATTCTTCTACTTTACAGAGATTATCCATTAAGGCAGATACAACTGGACTTTTACCAGCAGACGTTTTATGATCATTTGTCATGAAATGATTCTCAAACTTCATCATGTGATGTTAAAAGTACGAGAGGAGTTCTGAGGCTGTTTGTCAAATGTGTTTCTGATGATTGATTTAAGAAGAGACCATTTGTTATTTGAGCTGATTGAAACTCGTGAATTTGTAAAAGCTGTAAATTATTAGCTAAGTTTAAAAATCTCTGGAGTTTTCTTATGTTTGTAAGAAAAGTTTCTCACCATAACAAACTCCATTCATCCTAAAAGACTCAAAGTGTTGACTCTATTTTCCTTCTATATTTTGGAACTTGCACTGTCTCACAGTAAAAACACTTCGACAGATAACAGGAACAACACGGTCTCAAAAAACCACAAACACAAACAACACAATTCTCTCTCAAACAATGTAAATGGGAAAAACTCCAAAATCATTGTTTGACAAACATTCTGCTTCCAGGAGGAAAATTAACACAGAACCAACATCTGCTGGTGAATCCAGCTCGTCCGGCTCGTCCAGCTCGGCTGAGATCCTCCATTGTTTGGAGAACGTGTTCTTTTGTCAGAAAATATCTGGTTGGTCGAACAGTAAAATCATCGTTTTAAAAGTTACCAGAAACTTTGGCTGCCGTCAGAGCACTTACAGCACACTGCAGGTGGAGGGGCTCTGCGTCGGTGGTGAACGTCACGGATGTGAGGGGGTCCGGGTGTTCGCCGTTGTTCATCTGGGCCAGCACGCAGTTACTGTGGACCTGGACGCCGGCCTTCTCCACGGCCGTCGCCACAGCTTTCTCCACGGCCGGGTCACTGAAGCAGGAGACGCCGGGTTCAGGAGGTGGGAGGACGACGTGGATACGAGATCCACGGACACCGAGGCTGAGCAAAGTCTCCACTGTGGTGTAGGCGTCAATATTGTTTCCATACACAACAGCATTATCTGGACAAACATGAGAAAGAAACAGTCAGTTTAATATTTAATGATGTTTCAAAGTATCGTCAACATTTTCACACAATGACTCCTGAAGAATCTAAAGAGCGACGGAGACTCAGACAAAAGGAGTAATCGACTTAGAAGAAATAAAACTCCAACAGATGTTTATCTTAAAAATACAAAGATCCACATTCAGAGAAACAGTCATTTCTCTTTTTCAATCCAAATGTTCTCTATTTATAAAAGTCTGCACGTTTTCAAAGAGGACCAGAGATTCTTGAACCATGATGGTAAATGTATGAACAGACGTAAGAAATCAATCATCATAAATAGGAGCATCTAAATGTGTTTTCCTGATAAAATCTCCTGTTCTATGATGCATGTGCTTCAGAGAAGCTTTGACATTTTACAGAACATACGCGCTCCTATATAATGTTCTCATCTTTCACTGCTTATGTTCAATTTACAAGCACAAAGCCTGAAGCATCGATGCTGTTATTCTGAAGGTCTGCGAGACAAACAGATTTAATATGAACATGAATCATTGTGAACAGTGGGAGTTTGAGTTAATATAATGTTTCTAATCCTTAATTCAGGTTTTGTGTAAACAAAAAGGATTTCTAAGAAACATGTAATGATAAAAACTGAATAAAATCTCTTCCTCATTATTCCTCATTCCATGAAACCAGTCACAGCATTAAGACAACTGACAGTGTGAGATTGATTTTCAGGTAGAGGTATAATTAAATAATCCCGTTACTGTTTGATTTAATGAGATTATGTTCGTTTAAAACCAAATTTAAAAAAAACTGAAAAGAAAAAAAACGTGTGAGAGTCAGCTGCTGTCCACTGTCTCTGTCCATGGTGCTGAACACAAAGTCTATGTGGGGATTCCTCTCTGAGCGACATGACCCAGACTCCACATCCACTCAGAGAGTAAAGAATATTTGGTTCAATAAGACAAACCTGCCCGACCTTTCCTGTGAATGGCTGCAAGGAGCTACAGAGAATGTTCGAATTGACCATTTTAATCACAGAGATCGTCTCAACGTGAAAAGGTTTTTCTTTAGAAACTACTTTGCAGATTTTTTTTGATACAAAAGGATTCAGAGCAGTTTTCCCCTTTAGCAGGATGAAGACAGTTTAGTGCTGCGGAGACCGATGTGGCTAAATGAGTCTACTTCACTGTGATCAATGAATTTATATCATCGATCACTTATTCTGTTCACTGCTTTTACCACTAGAGCTCCTCAACAATCAAGCTTTAATAGATGTGAGACAAAGAAAATAACTTTTGGTTCCGAGACCCATCAAAGAGCTGCAGTGTGTTGATGTTCTCCTTTATCAACATGAACATAGACTATATTGTTACGACATTAAGCAGCTGATTTAGGGAAATTATTATATGTGTTTGTAGTTTTTTAAGTCTTCAGTAGAAAGTATACGGCTTCGAGCTGAGAGCCACAGGAGATGAGTCAAACACTTTGTTGTCAGTAAGAATAATATCCTTTAAATTAGTGTCGAGACAGAACCGCTTTAGTCTAATGCTTAAATTTACATACACGTCCTGTTTCCTTCTGTTGTTATTAGAATATGGAAATAAACACGGTATCTGCTGGAGTCTGCCACTGCAATTTGCATTTATTAATGGCGTTCCTTTATGACTGGGAACGGACTAATTAGTCTGAATAAAAGCCTCACTCTAGATCGCTGCACAATTCCTTCAGAGAGCAGATTAATTTTGCTTAACGACTCTGTGTATGTTCTGCTGCTCTGAGAGGCCCGGCTCCCAGAAAGTGATATGATAATGGAAAATGGATGGAAGAGGCCGAGCTGATTCACAGAGATGAAAGATTTCTCTACAGCTAATTAGCTGCTAATTATACCGGGGCACTTCAGCTCTGACTGGCTGAGTAATGACATACTACTACAGATTACTTTAAGGTTATGTGTGTGTGTGTGTGTGTGTGTGTGTGTGTAGAAGAGGTATTAACTTACCCTCCAGATCCACAAAGTTGGCACAGAGCCATTGGCGAGCAGCCATGCAGTCGTGGAGGTCGTTGAGGGTGAAGAGGTTGGAGGGAACGGGCCCGGTGTATCTGCGGCGAGCGGCCTGATTCTGCAACTCGCCTTTTGTGACGGGCTGGTTCAGATCCACTCCAGTGGGACAGGGCACCTACAATGAGTTACGTCATTAAAGTAATTCACACTGAACCACAGATTCATAGGATCATTAATACTTCACCAGGTTGTAGAACGGACACTTCATAAATCCAGACTAAATTAAATGCTGCGTTTTAAAAAAAGCAAAGGAAGCACATCCTCACCCGGTACTGGAGGCCTGTGCAGAGGATGAGGTAGTCATACGGCACCTTCACACCTCCAGACACCAGCACGTGTTGGGATTCCCTCTTGATGCCCACCATCTTGCCGGTCACCACTCTGACGCAGGAACGCAGAGGGAGCTGGGCCAAGTTTCGGCTGCTGTATGCATGACTGCAGGAAACAGGACACGTGGTGAGAGAGACTCAACACCTGCTTTCTAACATGTTAGCATTTAGCTCAAAGTACTGCCGGGCCCGAGCATATAAATAAAGATGGTCAACATGGCGGCTCCAATAAGTCGGGCCAGATAATCTTGATCGCCTCTCGGTCGATTCTGTGCAGTGGGAGGAAGTCGAGACGCGTTGTCCATCTTTCCTCACAGTCTACGTGCCTCAAAGAGTTTCTAACATGGCTGTAAAATTCTGCTCTCGTCTTTTGGCTGCAGATCATCACCAGCGTTAAAATAGTAAAGGACAGATGTGATTTATTTTCTATATTTATCTATAATATAAAAGGCCGTTTCTTAGCATCACCTTGAAAAGGTAAATAACGCACAGTAGTTATTGAGTTTGGTTTTAATTCCACACTTGTGTGTTCAGATGCCAAAACATGATTTTTATTCATATCCATGTGTGACATTGTTCCACTGACTCACCTTGTGGACAGAAATCCGACGTCCTCGTGGTCGTAGTCGCCGGGGAAACCGTGGGTTGAGATCAGGGTCAGGTTGTTGAACCTCAGGTGAGGGCTACGAGAGAACAAAACACAGCTCGGCATGAGAGGCTTTTCACAGAAGATGGTGAATATGGACACGGCCCAGTGAGAGGAATATGTTCAGGGGAAGGACAAGTTTAAATTCTACAACGACTACGTTCCTCATTCACAAGACATGTGGAGGAAGCCTGACTATTGTCAATGTCAAGAGGAAAAGAAGAATAAATAAAACTTGCTTTCATACATAAACTCTGCAACATGTTCTCCCAGGTACTAAATATTAGCATCAATCATTAAAGTAAATCAAGGATATGAGCTCAGATGTGTTGGGAAGTCAGTAACCTCAAGGGCCGACGTCTTTTCTCCTCATTACCCACAGTGCAACTCAAAATAGAGTTCATTTGAAGATTTGCTTTTTCCGTCTTAAACAGAGTAAAAACAAAATCTTAGTTAAATCTTCTCAGGAGAAACTTCTCCAGCCTGACCCATCCTCCTGGCTCTGATGCGTTTACTGTCCCCAGTAAAAAACACCATCTGTTGTGATGCAAATGACCTCCTTTGTGTTGGCCTACGGGACATTACACAGCTGATAAGAGCAGCTCCAACGTTTGCTGAATAGCAGAGTGTGTACCAGTGTCCAGTCTTATCTCACTGTCGCCTCTGATCACCTGCCGCGCTGCTCTTATCTCTGCTTCCTGCTAAATCTACGTCCAGCGACACAACAACTGCAGACTCCAAAAAACTGTTGCACCGATTGGACACAATCGTAATGTGACTGGACACTGAGGGTCTTTGTCACGAGTGAGACCGAAATATTTCTGGTTCTATTAATGTAAAAATTAACAGAGGCACAGTTAAAGAGGATGTGATGCAGTTAAACAGTGACTAACAACAATTGTTTGGGGGCTTTGACCCCCCCCCCCAATGAAATAATCATTTCAATAGGGCCTTCGCACTGTCGGGCCCTAATAATAACAATAACATCAAGCATCAGACAATGGCTGCACTCAAACTTTCCTTGTTAATCTGAGCCAGGAGGTGGATTTATGGAGCAGCGCTGAGGCATTAAGGCCAATTATTGGTGTCTGGAAGCGACTGAATCAGCGGGTCTGGATTTGTTCTGTTATCAGCCGGTGACAGGCGGCCGCGGTGACCCTGCAGCCTGACCGCGGCGAGCGGAGGGCCGAGCCGCTGCAGAGCTCTTTATCTGTCTGACCCCGTCCCAGTCTGTAATGGAGTTGGGGGGGGTGGTGCTGCTGGGCTGGATTCAATGAGCACATGGAAAGCTGTGTCGGGGTGGGGGCTGAGGGGGTGGGATGTTTGGGCAGGGCTGATAAGCGGGGCCCCAGCAGGCCGAAACTGACCCATCATTCACCGTCTCAATGTGTCGCCGCCTCGCCATTAGTTCAGCGGACACTAACTGTCTCATTAGTCAACTCATTAGTGACAGCAAACACAGATCACTGCAGCAGATCCCTGACGGGGGAAACAGTGGAGTGGCTAATTAAAGGGGGCCAGCGCTGGCCCTCCTGAATGCCAGGGCCTCAGACAGCTGCGTGCACACACTCTGCACCGGGGGCCATGCCAGCCTCAGCAGCTCTGCAACCAGCGAAATCTCAATCGCACGAAACAACAACCCCGGTTGCCTGGCAGCTATCGCCGGGTTCCGAATCAGCAGCCCAGCGCTTCTTATTATTTGCCGGAGCAGTTAATCTCACAAAGCGAGGATGAAGGCAAACATGTAAGACGCTCGACCCGGAGTCAAGTGACATTTCCAGAGATTGGATTCCTGAAATAAAGACGATAAAGAAATGAAAGAGGAGCTTTACTGTGGCTTCAGGGTGTCTGTGCGACAGCGTGGAGTTTTCCTGTAAAGACGCAGCAGAATCGCTGATCAACGTGATCATGTGAACACTTTTCATTATTACAGCTGCCATCTGTCCATTATCCCTCCTGAACCGTCTCAGGGATCTTTATGAGAGACGCCTTTGTGCTTTTAAACCACATGTGGTGTGTTTACTGGCTCCAGGAGATAAAAGTGTCCCCCTTACCTGCCTGTGTTAAACATATAGATTCAGACAGTGTTTCCTCTGCTGGTATGAATCCTGGTTCTGAAGGTTTGTGTCTAACAATGGCTCCTGATATTTCCTCAGGCTTATTTAACACCTTTAAAAACAGCTCATGAACGTGTCAGTTCATTAGTTAGTGTAACTGGGAGGAACTGATGCTTTTGTCAGGGTCGAGTTTCAGCAGATTAATCTACAGTTGGTGCACTGGTGAATATTTGGGGCAGAAGGAGGGAGTCTGGGGGATTGAGTCAAAATAAACTCCAGCGTGTTGTGTGTGTTTGAACAACAGATAAATCAGATTACACTTTTGATACACACACAATACTCAGTTGGATTAGTTAATGAATTGCTGATTTCTGAGCAAATGATGAAGCTGTAGTTTGTCCTGGATGAAACCTGCGTGATGACACTGATTCATCAACAGGTCGGTAATCTACAGCACATCGGGGAGAAAAATGACACGGAGGCAAACTCACCACAGGCAGAGCACCTCGAGGAAAGATAAACCCGTGTCAGACGCCCCCACCACCACGATCTGGGCATTAATGGTGACCTTTGGCTCCAAGGTTAACTTTCTGCTGATGAGGTAGAGAGCGAACGGTGCCTGAGAGAAAAACAACGGTCAGACTCAAGTACCACTTTCTGAATAATGCAGAAAATTAAAAGATAAAACACAGATGTTTTTATGAACCCACTTTGAGGTTTATTACTTAATACACATTGTCTCTTATATTTAACAGTTTCTTTTATATTCTTTTTCTCTTGTCATCAGGTCAAAATCCTGGATGAAGGTTAGAGAGAAAGAAAATAGAAACAGTTTCACAGTGGTTGTAGCAATGAAAGACCAGATTTCTTATAAATTTGAAATTCAAATCCTGTAAGTTAAAAATAAAATCCTACTTTGTGTTCTCACCAACATCCTCAAGATTTAAGGTTATATAAAATATTCAGTTTTGGATGAATGAAGAAACCTGGAGTCAGAGCACTACAGATAAAAATAGTTCTGCTGCTTCTGTTAACACACAAATGATGCACTAAAATACTTTGCTGCTCATATTCAGGTTGATGACTTTAGTGTAATGACTTCACACAGTTTACATTCATAAGTTAACTTATAAAAGGCTTCATGTGCCTCCTTTAAACAAAACCATGATCAGATTTTGAATCTTTGTCTTGCCGATGTGTTTGTTACCTCAGGTAGGTTTTATAAAATGCCTCCATGCGTCCACCTGAATTCTGCAGGAATGAACCAGATGTCGACAGAAGAACTAAACTCATCAATCTCATCTGCATGTGTGTTAGAGCAGGTGCAGCAGCTCTCATGCTGGAGGAGCTTCACCTTTACACACAGCGACCGCAGCTTCTGCTTAATACGACTCTGTATTGACAGAGAGGGAACAGGTGCTTTAAATTAGATTAATCTTTCCTGGGGCCACATCAGGAGGCAGAGACAAAGCTCGGAGGCGAAGCTCTTATCTGACACGGCAGCCTGGAAATCACAGCTGCCGCGTTACCAAGGCGAAAGGGGCGGACTCGGTTTGATGGAGTGAAATAAACACGAGCGTGCACGGAGCAATGCCGTGCACATGGTAAATATTTGAAGTAGAGACCATTAAAATAAATCACAGCCACACAGAAACCACACGTAGCTTGAGCTTAAATAGAGACGATGCAGCGATGGAATTATCATCAGTCACCTGTTGCAGCAGTGACACAGGAACGAACAAACTGAGGCTCTAAAAACCAAATTGAAACCATGCACGTACAGGACAAGGGTGTCCGCACATTTCTGACTGTAGAGACCATAAAGAGTAAAGTTTAAGACGTCACCTCATAATTAAAGAGGAAGCTGCCGAGAGGAGAATAACCTTTAACTCTAAAATTCAGTCGCACCAAATCTACGCATCAGTGAACTCGTTTGTCTTTCTGCCTTCACACGGCAACACGTTCATCTCAACGCTGCTTCTTTCAGTGAACTTTCAACTTGGTTTAGTGCTTCAGCAGAAATTCTTTTGAGGTTTTTTTTGCATATGATTTGAAAAATTTAAAATAAAAATAAATTCTCTTCAAGTTGATCATTAGTCATTAACCCATCTTTGATTTGTAGGGTCGAGATGAGATCAGTGTAAATGTGGGTTTGGTGAATTTAAGTTAGTGACTTTCTAAATTTGTGGTTTGACACATTTAAAATGTGGAATATCTGCTCAGTGTTAAAGAAGCTGCTCAGATGGGACGCTGAGCTTGTCCCATGAAACAGCTCCATCTAGTGGTCACATCCACAGCCTGCTGTGCTCCCTCTGTCAGCTCATTAACATTCCCTGGCAGGCTGCTCGCTGTCAGCCAGCTGCTGCTGCGCTCACCTGCTCCTCTGTGATCCGGCTGGACGGGGCGTTGATGCCAAGCTCCTCCAGCGGGTAGATGATCTGGCGTCGTGGACGGACGGGAACCGCACAGTTGAGGACAAAATCCAGATGGTGGACGCAGGAATTCTGAGAGCAGAGTAAGAGGGCGCGTGTCACTGAGCTCAGAGACAGAAGAACCCCTGAGAGGTTAAACAGCAGCAGTGACAGAGCTCAGGAGGCAAAGTGATAACGAGCTCTGGTGAAAAGGTTCGATGATGCAAGGTTTACACCACTGAGCTGATTATGACTGGAGACATCGCCGAGACTCATCCACTGCCCGAGCCAGGTCTCATCCTCTGCCATTATTCTATTTGCACCATCTCTCAGCCTGGTGCTTGTTTGTGGAAGGTAATTAGCAGAGGAAGTGGAGGCCTCTACATGTTGAGGAAATGTCTTATTATGGTGTGGAGAGGTGGAGCTGGCAGCACCGTCAGCACCTGCTGCCCTGACCCCGGGGACCGCACAGTGCTGAGGGCCACTCACTGCAAAAAGTTACGCTCTACAAAGCTGGAATATTTTTACATTTAAAAAAACTTTACAATACAGTTTACATGCATCAGGTTTCAGGTCAATTTTGCTTTTTTCAGTTGAATTAACTGTTAAAAATGTTGCATCATAAAGATAAATGATGAAACATGACTGATATAAAAAAGTTCCAATATGTGCAAATAATATGTTTTGCGGTGTGTAGTGTGAAATTCGTTGTGACCATCATCATGAATCTAATGTTCCTCTTTCTCTTAATAGAATGAATTTATCCTGGAGGATCAAAGTTAAATTATCACTTTGGTCAACAAGTGAAATCTTCTCATGACTGAAGGTTTGGAGGGCTTGATATTTTTTGCAGTGTATGAACTGAGGATCATTACACTCGAGACAATCAGCACTGGGAGGGGCCTGGTGTTGATGGGTGGCCGGCGGGGGCCCGGGGGCCCGGGGGCCCCTGTGCACAAACCTGCTGGATGTGGTGTGGGGGGTAGAGTCGGTGGTACAGGCAGGATCTGTGAGACAGGCGCAGGACGTCTTTAAACACGTGTTTGGTGAAGTGCTGGAAGGACGGTTTGAGGACAAAGTGGCGAATCCGAGCGTGCTCCTCGGAGCTGTGGTGGCTGAAATAGATGAAGCTCTCGATGTTGTAGTGGGCGCGGATGAACTCGATTTCCTGACAAAGAGAAAATAAGTTCGTTATGAAGATTCATTCAGATCGAGAAACATTTCCAGGATTGATATTTGTTCTTTATATTAAAAAAAACAAACGATTAAACATATTTTATTGAAACTTGTAAGGGCGGGGGAAGGGGCCAAGAAGGAATTCATTACCATTTAGAGAGGTTTCAATTTTGATGTGTTGAGTCAGAGAACTACCTGTTCGTCTCCGATGATCACAATCCCCACGACCTCCACGCCCACCTGAGCCACGAAGGCCTGCAGCTTCAGCCCGTCCTGAAACAAACAGAACAAGATCAATATGGAAATGAACGTGTTGAGCTGAATGTACCTCCCGAGTTCAAGCACAAGCCGAGTGCAGCGCCATGAATACTCATGAAGCGTCTGCTTTCTCATTCGAGAAGTAATTATCAGTGCTGGAGCTGCAGCAGCTGGGGTGTCAGTCAGAGAGAAGCCGTTCGGCTGAATTCTCACCAATCTGTTCGCTGGCATACGTGTGATATTCCTGGTTATTCCAAGACAATCATAATACCAGCTCCACTCACATGGTCCAAAACACTCGTTTTAAAGATAAAGGGAGAAACATTTGAATAACAACCCCGACACTGTCTCTATTAACAGTTTAAAACATTTGAGGCCAGTTTATATTCCAGAAAAATGGTCAATATTTCTATTTATATATATATTTGGCTCAATTAGCCGACTCCATGTGGATGACAGATGAAAGCAAGTTAAAAACTAAGTACATTAGCAAACATTAGAATCATGAAGCTGAGTGTGTTGACTGACTGGGTCACTGCGGCTCTGGTAGAAACAGTCCAGGTCCTCCAGCAGGGACTCGCTCAGTGTCAGACCCTCGACCAGAGTGGAGACAGCAGGTCGGTCTGCGGCCACAGCCGGTCTCACCTCCACAGGCCTGAGAACAACCACAGAATTAACACAGAGGAACAGTGGCCTGTAAACATGGTGTGTGTGCAGGTTACAAGTGTCAAGCAGCCTCAGTTTGAAAGTTGTGATTCAGGAAGGTTGATCGGCTGCAGGTTGTGTGACGGAGCAAGTGTCACGTTAAGACTCAAGCATGTAAGAAACAGGTGATGATCTTAAAGGACGACCCACCTCAGCCCGACACGGTGGAAAATGTAGAGTTCGTTCACCAAAGCGCTGTTGGCACGTGGCGGCACCCGGACGAAGCTCTGCAGCAATGGAAACGATGCGGAATAAGTCGGTAACGTGATGACGCAGAAATCCAGATCCTGATAGACAAGAAATTCAGAGTGTCACAAATAAAGGTCATTTTTTTAATTATTCCAAAGAATCGTTGAAATCATAATGTGTGAGGGAATCCTTCTGCCTGACAATTATTTTATTATTCCAGGCACATAAGTATTTATTTTAACATTGCTGAGGTTTAAAAGAACTTATAGAAGAATGTGACAGATTTCTACAACTCAAATAAAAGCCCAGCAGGCAGTGTCCTTCACTTGACATGTAAAGATAATACTCACAGGGAAACATTTGAACACATATGGAAGAAAGTCCAGTGATCTGGAAAAGAAGGAGGAGAGGATGATGTTAAGTGAAAATATGTTTCTGTGCCAGTGGGAGAATCAAAGCCAGGATGGTGATCACTGTGGTGGAACAACTGGACGACCAATCTGCCCGTTGATCCAGCTCAACCCCTCGCCTTCAGCTCGCTGTCGCTTTAAGCGCAGCTCTCATTAATAACATGCTCACTCTCGGCAGGGAGCGAATCGACTCCATATTCAGTAACAGCTGGGAGGTACGGAGGCGTGGAGCGGAGCTCAGCAGGAGCCAACTAACAGTCGGTCTGCTTTCACACAGCATATGACTGATGTAACGCTGGACGGCTGCCACCGGTGCTCAGGGAAACACTTTCAAAACAGGATTAAAAATTGATTTCTGATCGCTGTCAGATCCATTAACCCTCGTTTCAACAACGCACTATTTTGTTTTGCAAAAGAAAAAGGCAAAAACATTCATGTTAAAGGTTATTCATACAT